AAATCGGTTAGTCAAAAGGAGCAAGAAATGCTGTTATCCCTAAATCTTTGTGTTGCAAGGCTGCAATTGAAGGGAACCCTTACATCCTTTAGGACGGCTGAACCTTCCAATGCAACTTCCTTAGCAGCTCTAATCCATTTCTTCTAATTAAAAATTAGCCTCTCTGGATTTTCTTTGTTTTGCTAGGTACTTTTTGAGAGGAAAAGTCATCCAAAATACACAATTTTATGAGGCCTGGTTTCTGCAGAAGCTGGGCTTAGAACCCCTGCCTGCCCTGCAGGATTTGCCACCCCATTGTAAGGTTGGGTGAACCAGATTAATTGTCCAAAGGCCTAGGTTCTTTTTTGGAATTGGACCAATCATTTTTTCAGAAACTACGAATGCAGAAGGCCGTCCGCTGGGCATTACAAAGATCCCATCTCCATCATGGCTCACTAGATAAAAGCCCTAGGTTATTGCCACTTCAGATTTTGTTACGATGCAAAGCAGTATGTAGGAAAAATTTATATTCTATATGATTGTAAATGAATAAATTACAAAAGGTTGATTACGCTTTTTGTTAGTTATACAAATCAAATCTTTGATTTGCTATATACTAGAACTAGTTATTTAATTAAGACTTAAGACTTTCTTGAATACTGAATAGTTAATAGTCTTTGAAGGTCCTGGTTTGGGACTATGCAGCACTGCTCTTCACTTTATGATTCAGAATTATATGTGTGAAATTTGGAATTATTAGAAGTGATCATGGGGATTAGGATAGATTGTACAAGGAATTTTGGAATTGAGAAACCTTTTTCCTTCATTTATAAACAATCCCCAGGAGTGCTGCCAGTATCCCTCAAACCATGCAATCCGCAGGTCTGCGTTTCGGAGGTTAATGGCCCGGCAACATGCATGCAACATAACAAGGAGTTCTTCAAATCCCTAAAAACTTACTGTTTCCGAGACTGCCTAAGCCCAAATAGCCTAACCAATTCACAGCGGTTCTTTGAAAAGTTTCTCGCGTACCGGATTCGGCTCATTCTGCGGCTGCAGACTTGGCCTTTAAAAAATTCTCGACAGTTCAACGCGTGACAGAGCAAGGTGCTTGGAACGATAATAACAACATAGCGCAGGGACTTGATTTTAAGTTGTAAAACATTTCGTTTCTGTCTCATAGTTTGTTCATGGTCTTCTGTTCTCATTTGGTTCAATTGCAAAACAATTGTATAGATAGAAGAAAAACTGAAAAAGGAATGGATTGGGCCCTCCTCTGCATTGCAGGTTGCCAATTTTAATATGTTGCCCCAACGATAAGATGGTACGGTTGGACAAAGCCCAGCTAATGTTCTTCCGATTGCGAGATATAATGAAGGGAAACAGCTGGCCCGAACATAAACTAGTGTCCCTGGCATATGCTTTGTGAAAAAAATTATTTTTACTTAAGAAAACCAAGTACAATTTTATTTTTACTGTTTTCCCCACTAAATTTAAATGTAGTAATATAAATATATATAGTAAGAAGTTGATTCGCTAATTGAGGAGAAAACCAAGTAGATTAAATTTTTCTAGGATTCCTGGATAACACACCAAGTTCGAATAAACTGGGAGAGATTCCTCAAAAACTCTCTGTCCAACCTTTTCTATTTCCAGTTTTTATGCTATCAATGGGATGAAATTTCATAAATTTATGGGGTTTTTTTCTTAATGCTTACAGTGACATTTTATATTTTTCAAAGTTGAGTGATGTATGAATAGTTACAAAGTATTTCAAAAATTAAATGTTTTTATTCATTTGTTTACGTTCTAAAAAATTAAATTATTGATGGACAAAACTAGCTGAGACAATATACACATTATGTGAAAAAAAAAATATCCTAAGTAAGTTTCTTTTTCAATTACTCACTTTCATCCTATTATTTGTTGAAAGGAATTCTTTATGTTATTAAGTAATATAAGCATTTGTTATATAACAATACATACATACATATGCATATATATGTATATATATACATGCATTAAAAATTTACCTCCACTGTGTATAAATCTTGGATCTGTCCTTAATTATAGTTGTACTTTCTAATTTCTACCATACATGTATAGCAATTAAAAACGTATTTAAGCCATATTATTTGTTAATTATGTATCAATCTTATATGGTTGGGAGTATATTTGGAGGGTTGCAGCTTTGATTTGAAAGAGGTGGGGGCAATCTAACTCGTGGTCTTCATTGCACAGGTCCTCATGCAATTGGACTGGTTAACGGTATTGTTAGTTATAACTACCTAGGGCACTTAACACACCATTCATTGTATTAGAAGAAATACTTGAGCAAGCGGAATAAACATTTGGATGCCTTGAATTATTGAGGTCAAATGCTTGAGATAGCTGAATTGGAAGTTCTTTTTTATTGCTAATCATTGGAATTTATTGTGGCTAAATTGGAAAGTTGTTTGTTACCATAAACAGAAAGGGATGGAGAGAGGGTGAACAACTAAATTGGATTAGTGAAGAAAAAAGAGAAAAGCAAAGTAATCTGCCATCACTTCAAACTTCGAAGAGATAAAAGGAATTATAAGAATAATATAATTTTTTGAATAAGTAAATCCTCGTATTTTTTGCGTACCTTCAAAGTTAAAATCATCAAATTGTTTACTCAACTTAATATTGATCTACATAAATAATATTTATGATATACTTCAATTTGTTAGACTTTTATCTGATAGGACCCATAGACAAATATGAGCAAGCAACTGTCAAGATTATATTTGCATAAAAATTGCCATCTCTTCATTCACATGTTAATATACTATATAATAAATAATTAAAGTTTCAACTCAACCATGTAAATAAACCTATACTTATCAAATTATAAATTAATTTTCGTTTTTCTTCGATTGTCTATTGGGTTAGTGCCCTGAATAGCGTCAAACCACAAGATATATATGCTAAGCTGTGGAATGGGTCCATATTTAAGTTTCTTCATTGCCTGTGCTTCGCACTATATTGTTGTCCAATGAGTAGTACTTTTATTTTATCAGATATTGTCGAAGCCCTCTATACCTTAGCTAGAGCATAGCACATGACAGAACTTCTGTTTTCCTTCCTCATGTCTTCTTATTCTAGAAAGGCTGCTGTACACATGTTAGAGGGGCTTTTTCTCTACCAAAATTGTGGACCTTCATAATTGGGCAGGCAGGCCTTGATCCTCGCCGTGATCTCGCTTAGAGCGCTGCCTTTGTGGGGTCCCCCTGCCCGGATGAGGAAGCCTGGCAAGCACACGTATTGGCCATATTGGCTTACGGCACAATATTGGCTGCATTACATTAATTTTCGACCCTCTACTCATTCGAATCTTGAAAATCCGGTACAAATCAACCATATTCTTGCCGCTGGCTAAAGGCAACATATTGATGGTCCAAAGCTCAAAATCATCATCTTTGACACGCCGTAGTCGCCTTCCAGTTAGGCTCCCCACGCACTAATTGTCTCCCACATGGTCGGGTCCATAACATCTGCATCATCACATCACATAGTGTCTGAGACCAAGCCTAGCCACCTGTTGAATGATGGTATATTTATCCAAATATAAACCCTTCTCCAAATTTAATTAGAAAACCAACTTGGAGTATTGTCTTGCGCTAAACATGCAAACCAATTCTGATTCTTCAAGCTGGCGAATGATATAACATTCCTCCAAACACTTATCAATAACATGCCCATATTTACATCATCTATAATTTTCTTGACACGTTTTGTCAATGTCACGTCAAGGAATCATGCATTTTTTATTTAATTTGTTTTGTGTAATTACATGCCACGTTTGTCAGCTAAACGGATTGTAAATCCAAATCTAAACAGTTTGTAAAGCTGTTCTACGAACCAGATGGTCCTGGTTTTGGTCAGAAGCTCGTGTCTATATGCAACATGTTGTCTATATTTAGCACAAAAAAACTTCTAGGCCTTCTTTCATAATTCTCTTTTGTACTTTGTACAGCAACCAATGACAAACTAAGGGGCATGCATGGTGCCGCTTGTGGGGAAGGCAGCAAGGAGAGGGCATTCCAATCCATGTCCCTATTTGAGAGCCACTCAGTTCAGTATTCCATGACACATAGGAAGGAGAAGACTCACTTCTAACCCAATTGGAAAGGGGTCCATTGCTTTGGGGTTAAAGGCAGGGCCCAATATTGCAGCAGATGACTAGACACAGATGCGACCTGGGGCAGATGTGGCCTAGAGCCCTTCAAAATTGGAGCACTGGAGCCTATAGCTAAATCATATCCTACTAAATCTATGCACGACTAGGAGAGACTGTTCCACTGTAACCTTTGAATGATGCATGTGCGAGCTAAGATTTGATGTTACCAGGGAGTTGGGAAGTCTGGTGGTCATTAATAAAGAAAAGGATAGGTGTTTGAACATGGAAACGTCAAGCAAGGAACTTTGTCAAAGATATAGTTGTAACCATTTTCAATTCTAGTCGAGGGGAGGGGCAGACCATTCCATCAAAAGCTGTTCCATGGAGTGCATGTGCCTTTGCCCTTTTTGTCTTGACATCTTATCTCTGGAGGGCCCCAGAGGACAAGACATTGGGGAGATTCCATTGGTGTAATTTTCTGCTGTCCATGCCTTGGTGAAAGAGCATGTTTTTCATGGTCAAACAAGGACTTAAGGGCGAAAGAGATCTATATTATCTTGGAGTTGAATGGTGTGGATTATTTGGATGGATGGGCATCGCTGAGTGGGATTCCATGTTTGGAAAAATGTTTACTTTGTAGAGAATCGATGATGATTTACTGCTGGAGCCAATTTTAACTACAGTTACGGTGGTTGGTGAACTTTCCTACTCACACCATTCAATTCAAATTAATTCAAAAGTAGTTTGGATTTGAAGCATTTCATCTGTCTTCACTTGCATTCTTTGTTTCCCTGTCTTTAGGGTCGGCATTATTTACTTTCCTTTATGGCTTCCACCAGGAATTTGTGTGTGTGTGAGAGAGAGCGAGAAAGAGAAGGAGGGATTTAATAAAGTATATTAATAAAGATAAATTAAAATTTAGTATATCAACACATCTGCACTTGCTCTCTCTAGTCCATCAAGATTCTACAAAAGAATCCCTAGATGTTCTAGGAGCAACAGGCCGAGGTTGTAATCATCAGAGTTGAATAAACAAACAAAGGAAAGGACAAAGAAAAAATAGAGTAGAAAAAAAAATGGTAAAAGAAAAGGAAAAAATATGGAGGGAAGACAAAGCCAAGGAAATCCTCTAAGTAGACTTTTCTTCGCCTTTCTCATATTTTTCAATTTTTTTTTCCTTTTCTGCTGGTTTCTCTAACTAAATTTAATTGAACTCGACACACACTTCCATCACTTGTAACAAAGTGTTGTCCGATCATATGTCTCGATCAGCAACGAGAACCTCTCTTGCAATTAAGTGCACCAGCATTGGTCGTTATCGTAGCCACAAGTGAAGATGGCCTAGCACCCAAGCTAGAAGCCTTAGCATAGCTCGAGGAGGCGCCGCACCAGACGGGGTGAAAAATGCACCATTCACCATCAGGTCGCCTTCTGATCTCCAATTCCAGCTCTTCCAATCACTCTCGGGTGCATCTTCATGCTTGGTCACCTGCACGAAATAATTATAACCCATCAACGCTTTATTAAATATTATACCTTCAACTTCAATGGATTGAACTTTCGGTTTTAAGTAGTATTAAATTGGGTTCTCACCTCTTTGCTGAATCTGCATCAGGTGCAGTAAATCTGTTGCCTTGGCTGTTGATGGTTGGGTTAGCACTCCCTCCAATGGCATACATTTCCCAATGGGTGTAGTCGTTGTTCACACGTGGAAATACCCATGTCTACATCTGTAAATGTGAAAAAAGTTGTTGTTTAAGTCTATTAGTTGATGACCCACATAACCAATTCACTGTGAGATATGTACTATAGAGTAATGCTCGACAATGGTCTTTTTTAACCCTTGAAATCTTATTAAAGTGAAAGGTAAGATGGGCTAAATTGTTTTAAATAACTATAAATATATTAATACCTATATGGCGTGCTTTTTTGTTACCCTGTAATTATTTACCTTGGCATTCTTTGGACAAGCCCTTCTCCAAGTGATTAAAGGCTATGGTGACTTGCATGTTCTTGTCCTGAGTATAGGAATCACTGTGCCCCAATAGCATAACCTTATCATGGTGAGTCATGTAGTTGTTCGAAATGGTGATGGCCGTGGACCCGTGGATGGCATCAACCAGCCCGTCCTTGCAGTTTGATAATGAATTATGATCCACCCAAATGTGGCTAGAACCAAAGAAGAACACGCCATCACCGTCCGATATGGTCCTCCAACCATAATGCCGTGGGAGTCCCTCACCATAGCATTCCCTCCTTGCTTGCAGTCATGAATATTGAGTCCATGAATAATAATGTTGGTCACAAACTGGATAGTAATGCATGGGCCTCCGGCAATATGAACACTAGCACCCCTGCCGTCGATTGTCTTGAAAGAGTTCATGATGAGTTCTTCCTTCAATTGAATGGTCATGTCACGAGCGAAAATTATCCACAATGGTTCATCTTGAATCACAGCGTGCCTCAGAGTTCCTGGCTTGGGGTTCACTGGGTCGTCGTTACCAGAGTCAGTGACAACGTAAATTTTACCGTCTCTTCCACCAACGGCATTCTTGCCAAACCCAATTGCACAGTCAGCAAGCCTCTGGCGGTTCTTCTCCCAATTGGGGTCACATCGCCAGCAGTCGTCAATGGGGTTGCCGGTGCCGCAGGAGAGATATCCAAGGTTCCTCCTTGACGCATTGATTGCCCTGCCCAAAGAAACAAAAGAGAATGTTAACACATTTTAATATTCGAGTCCGCAAGAATGTGAAAGTTTCGACATTTTCCAACTACGTCTAAGGCAGTGCCTAGCGGTGTAGCCATTTACCTGTGCACATCTTGCGCTACAACTTCTGGATCTTGAACTGGGGAAGCATAAATGAGAGTTGGGATCAGAAGAGAGGTTAAGAGGAAGAGAAGAGAAAGTGAAGGAATTGCCATTTCCTTCTGTTTTTTTTTTTCTTTTCCTCTTGTTTGTTCAGACGGTAGGGGAGGGAGGGTTGAGCTTGAGAGAAAAGAAAAGAAGAGAGGGGTCTTTATAAAGGGATTAAAGCCTTGCTCAATGGCGTGATTAAACTAAACATGTGGGGACGCTATGCTTCGTGATTTCAGGTTTTTACGGGATTCCAGTTGGGTAGTTTTGGCCGTTAAGCAAGGCCCTGAATAAAGCTGCCCAAACAGTCAAAAAGAACAAGTAAAAGAAAAAGAAAAAGAATACACAAAGTTACTACTTCTGGTACTAAATTCATCACCCCCCCCCCCCCCCCCCCCCCCCCCCCCCCCCCCCCCCCCCCGCCGGGCCTCTGTGTTTTTTTGGCGTATTCCATCTAGATTCTAGGTTGCTCTCACTGTGGCATGTCATGCACCCTCATTTGAGGGGTGCTTTTCCTTGGCATATTGGCGCATGGGTAGAAGTGAGTTTTTGTTCAATATATTTGCCTTCGCTAGTCATTGCATTGAGAAGGACATTAGGGAAAATAAAATCCCAAATGAGAACAACACTTTGCTGCTCCATTGGTTAATAAGTTTAGAAAGTATGCCCATAAATTTATGGATTTTATGGGGCCCTAATCCATTTGCTTGATTTGGTCGCCAGAGGGTGAATACTGTCTATGTCTTTATATGCTTTCTCCTCATTAAATAACATGAACATAAAAAGTTCAGATTAAAACCCACATAAGAAGATGGAAGTTATAAATGAAAATTCAGCTAATTCCGTTCAATACTTAAGATTTTGCCTGCCAAAAAAATGTAGTTGATACATTATATATACGTAATTTCATTTGTACATACAATTTGTACCATTCTTATCCCGTGTGTGATTAAGAATGGGCCTTATCATGGTGGCCAGAAATTATTACCCAACTCTCCATCCTAACAATAATACTAGTAATTAACTACTCTATATATTAGCACTCGTCACTCACCACTTAACTTCAAGTCCAAGCAGGCTCAGCAGTACTCAGAAACTATTTATTTTTGCTTTCTTTTTCATCCTATTTTTTTTTCTTTCAGAATTAATTGATAATAAATTAAATTGAAAATTCTCGTGACAGCAGCACATGGGTTTGTGCTCGAATTCAAACATCACTGGACTTGTAGGCCCAACATCTTTTTTTTCTTTGCTTACTATTTTCTTCTTATAAAATTGTTCTCAGCCGCAAAGTTCGCCGAAAATTTCACATTACCAAACAAAAATGTATTAGGCTGCATGCTGACATGGCAAATTTTGAATCTCCGAAACTGCCACTTGTCTTAGCATATAGCCGACACATGGCCCGCATCGACGGGCGTAGCTTCCGTTCATTGGATGAGCTGGACATTTCTACTGAAAGCTACGTGGATTCTTATTATCTCCCACGATTCTCCTGTCGCTCCCCAGGCGAATCGCAGCCGTCGAGTATGAATTTTGAAGGGTGATCATAGCCGTTGGTTTTGGAATATTGTGGGGTCCGAGGTACTTTAAGGAAAGAAAATAGCATAAGGACGTGAAAGTCTTTGTCGAGCAGTTAGTGTAGGGATGAAAGAAAAGATTAAAAAGGCAGAGCCATGTTATTAGTTGGCCCTTTTTAGAGGTTCTAGGTCCAAACTTGGTTTTCTTTTGATGGATGGCTGGTGATTGAAAACAACTGGACAACGTCTCTCATCCACTTAGCACGTGGTACACAATGCTGCTGCCATGTGGCAGTGCTCTGTTAGCCAAAACCTTTTTCTCTCCTTTGCACATGCAGTATATCCTGCTATATCACAATCGAATCCACGTCACCTTGTAATGCATCCATTTTTTTCCATGTCATTATTTCCTAATTTGCTGCTTAAGTCATGGATTAGAATTTGGAAAATCAATTCTTGTTAGATTTTGGATATCAAATTTTGGTATAGTTTAGGACTAAATATAGTCAATGGTTTAGACACTTGAAATTAATAGTCAGGTTTTTAGGTAATATAATTAATTTAGAGCAGTTGGCCAAATTTTGTTCACATTTTTGGTGGTCAATGCCACCGACGAGAAATGCGCATTTTGATTGTTTCCCCACAAAAAAAAAAAAAATTCACATTTCGATCTACCGCATCATAATATAAGGCAAAACTTGAATTAAGTAAGAGAAAATCGATCATTCTTTAATGAAATGTGATTGAGATATAAACTAATTTTAATAGTTAGGGTTCAACAAAATCATTTTGAATCAAATAAATTGATTGAATTAAAATGAGTTTTATTTTTTCAATTCAATTATAGTGATTTTTATAGTGTTCAATTTTGTAAGTTCAATTATTTTAGTCAATTCGGTTTGATTTTCAATAATTAAATTACGATCAAGTAAATCAAAAAATCGAACTTGAATTAATAAAAATTAAAATTATTATATATAAATATATTAATATATAACTTTTTTTGAATTTGTTAAAAATGTTGTTTAATTTATTGGAACCCATACAATTTTTTTTTAATTTGATTTTGTGAAATAGACTAAGCTGATTGAAGTAGTTCGATTTTTGATCAATTTGATTAATTATGATACTCTGACTTGATTTTTGCAAAAGATAAATTTGATTTTTTTTTATTTTTAAAATTTGAACACCGAATGGCTCGTTTGCAAACCCTTAAAATATATAATAGCTACGTTTTCAATATCAACGATTTAGTCTTTCTTCTTTAAGAAGAGTTGGACTTTCTTAAAGTTGTATTTTTGTTCATAAATACACCTCAAAATGTGCAACAAAACTAACATTAGTGATAAACGAGAAGTTGCTATAGTATGGCTCCGAAACTAAATATTTGCACTTAAAATTAGCTTAAATGTTAAAATATTAGTAAAAAACTCCAACAACTATAATTAACGTATGTGTTTCATGTCACTTGCAAATAATCAACTATCATACTGTTCTTTTTTCCAACAAAATTACATTTATTAATGTACGCCATTTTCCCCTCTAATAACAGTTGAAGTACTATAGTTTAAGATAGCTATTAATATCCATCCAATTACATTTGGAAGGTGTTACGTATTTGTCAATATGTTGCATGTATGTGCTTCTCATTCATTTTCCGTTCCTCTCCTTTCCATTTTCATGCAACATCCATAAGAAAAAACGCATGATAAAGATACACGAAACGAGACTTGAGACAAGCAAGGGGTGAAGGTTGTCTATGAGGAGGGTGAAAGCAGGTCCCTATGCCCACCAATCAACCAAAGCTGATGATGGTTTAACAAACATCATTTATTGGCTGCCGGCTTCCATCCTGAACCACATAAGAACCTCGCCTACTTGCATCAAATCAATTCTTAACCACATACCCTTCTTTGGATTGGCTAACCTTATGTATCCGGTGTCCCTTGCCCTATACCACATTGACATTATTTCTTTTATACATGTAATTTCCACTTATATAATTAAAAGGTAACAACTACATAATAAGATTTAAATTCACTCGATATATTTAAATCAGAATTTCTTAATTATAATTAATTATTCAACTGTTAAGGTAGTTTCACAAGAATACGCTACTAAACATATGCAGATAGATTATACAAATAAGTTCAATTTTTATTGTCCAAAGAATAAAAGGACATATAATATTTGCACGTTGTGGTGGTAATTGCCAAACGGAGCTAACCAAGTTTTATTGGAGTCAAAAACAAAAAACAATAAAGGTAAAAATTTTTGAAGGGGTCATTAAGACAAAAAATATATACCTTAAAAAAAAAGACAAAAAATATATGCACTAGACTCTGTCCTTGGTGGTAAGAGATCACTTCTTATAAAAACATATAGAATAAAATTAGTTTTGTCCTCTTAAAATTGCTCAATGCTATACTAGAATATAAATTTTAGGTCCAACCTTTCTTTTTCATAGGTATCTAAAGTGGGTCTCAATATGTGAGAGGAATTTATATTAAGTGCAGTAGTTTTTTTATGGAGAAGGTATTTATTTAGGCTTTTCTAAGTATTGTATAATTGAAAATTCTTACATCGGTCTTACTTACACATTAATTATATAGCTGATGCACGTAATTATAAATGTCACGTACATAAATAATTATGAATTTTCCCTTCTCATTAATCTCACATTAAAAATCATTATTAATTAGTAGTTAAATATACGCAAATTTTGATTTATCATATCTGTAGTTGATGTGTAATATGTTTATAGAGAAAAATAGAAAAGAAAAGCGTAGTGTGATATATGGTATAAATTCAAGAGAGATGTACGTTTAAATGATAAAATGGATATTAAATAGGTTTTGATACAGTAACAGAGAAAGAAGTAAGCTTTAATGGAGTTTATATAGCTTTACACGTCTGTTTACGCCGAACAATTGGGAGTTAGAAAAATATTATGATGTAGACCAGTTACATATAGTTTCATGATGAAAACTGTATATATATTACATTATCAACTTGTTTGCGTAAAAGAAAAGCACAATCTCATGCATGCTAACTATACATTATATCACTGCTATGATCAAAACCTTATGTTAGAATATTTCAGAGTCGGACCCGCCAACAGATATAGTGTTCTTGATCTTAAGAAGGACCATCGAGCGCCCCCCATGTCAAGTTGTTACCTAAAGGCTTCTGCTTTGGATATCAAAATTGTTGGTAGATTGATGATGTTTGGTAATTTTTGGTTTTTCTTTTGTTCTTTAAATTTGTATTTTAATAAAGTGGTAGACAGAGTAATGTCGTATTATAGAGACTCGACATGCCGTGTGATAAAAATAATAATAATTAATTAGCTGGAGAATGGTAATTACATCTAAATATAAAATCATTTCTTTGATACCATACGTGAAGCTACCGGTAACAGATCAAATGCAAGTTAGAAGAACGACGGACTCAGTTTTATATATACTATAAATAATAAATAATACATATATATATATAAATTAATTACGGCCATGCATATGGAATTTTGATTGTGCTTCTTAGTTAATTAATGAGACAAAAGCAACAGAAGAGATGATGTAATCATTGGTAGCCATGTGCTACGGACACTAA